TTCCTGCTGCCTCCCTCTGAAGCTCCTCTATGACCAAAGCAGAACTGTTGACTAGCACCTGCATGCGGCCCAGGCTGCTGGACTGCGACTGGAGCTTCGGGGCCTGTCCGTAGTTGTAAGCCACTGCTACGTTATTAGCAGTTCCTGGTTTGGTAAAGCCCCAGATGAAGATGTTAGGCATGGTGGAGCCACAGTCCAAGGTGACCGACCCTCCCACTGTCGCTGTAGCATGGGAGCGGATGTATTCTACCTCCTCAGGATCAAGTATCTGCAGACCTGTAACACAAGACAGCCCAAGGCAGTCACTGTAGCTGTACAAAAAAATTCTCATGTTTTCTGCATATTGACAAGAACAACTTCTACAGCCTCAGTACTGACAGATGTTTATTAGTAAGTGTCTTCTGAAAACTTTTACAAGCCCATAACAGTTTGTCATGAATGGGGCCTGTGTCAGCTCTATGAACACATACTGCAGTTAAATATACAATTTATCTCCCTCTGGCTCATTTGATGGATCCTCCCTTTGGTTCTGCTTAGTAATCTGCCAAAATTAAAAGATAAAGAGAAAGTCTACATGCCTCATCTTGTCTCCAACATATAGTATTTGTTGTACAATGAGTCTTTACCTTGTAAAGGAAGAGCCAGCCAGCAGACCAGCAAGCAGATAGAAGGAATCATCCTCAGACTCCCTGTGGTGCCTCAAAGCCACAAATGAAAATCTCAAGTTATGGGACTGTTTAATGCCTATCAGTTTCCTCTCCCGTCCACACTGCTGTATACACTGACAGTGACTGGGGCAGGCTGGAGGACTGACAGCGAGAATTCTTTTGAACCACTCTGGATTCACTTTAAATTATTCATCAATGCTTCCACCTCCCCGGTGTTGCTTCATTGTGCCCGTCTCGCCAGCTCTCCGCTCCTGGCAGGACTAATGGTGAGACCTGAGAGTGAGAGGTATAGGGTGTCGGGATGATGCCATCACTTCATATATTATTGAATAAACCAATGAAGGTAGCCTTTTTAGAAATTCCATCACTTCAAATGTGAAATGAAAACCTGGGCCCAGCAAGGTCAGACTATGAGAGTAGAGGCTGCCACGCAAACACAAGCGAGTTATTTACTCTCAGTGAAGC